ATAACACACATATATGTATTAGCTTATATGTAATATATATTATATATAATATTTAGTGTATATATTAGCTTATATATGCATCAAATATCTTTGGAAGGGAGCTAAAGAGACTGAAACATTAGGTTGCCTCCAGGGAGGGGAAATGGGTAGCTAGGGGGAAGGGTAAGAGGAAAATTTTTCATTGTATGCTCTTTGATTTCCTTTGAATCTTGAATCATGTAAATTAATTACTTATTAAAATAAATTGTTTTATAATCATAAAGCTGTGATAACAAGTCAAGATGAAGTCAACAAGGTTGGGGGGGGGAGCAGGCTGGCACTGGAAGATGAAGCCAGGGCACAGGAATTGGGCAGGGCAGGATCAGGAACAAAGCAAGGTGGATGTGGAGGGATTGCTCTGAAAGCTTCTGAAGGACCCTCTGTTGGCCGTTAGAGGGAGGGGTGCTGTGTTTCGCTGTGATTGACACAGCCAAGCAGGAGAAGGCAGGTACCGTCTGCCCCGCCCCAAATGCCTTCGATTGGTCATATCTGCAGTCATAAACCCATCAACCCCAAAAAGTAGGAATCCCTCAAGCGCCCACGGCGTCCTCTTTTTACAAAGTGTGTTCAGGCCTAAGTCTTAGTCAATGGATGTGGTAGGTGTCACTCCCACACACAGAACTAGGGCTCCTTCCTCCTCCTCCTCTTTCTCCTTCTCCTTCTTCTTCTTTTGGCAGGGTCTCACTCTGTGTCCCATGCTGGAGTGCAGTGGCATGAATATGGCCCACTGCAACCTGGCCTCCTGGGCTCAAGCAGTCCTCCTGCCTCAGCCTTCCAAGAAGCTAGGACTATAGACACGTGCTACCAAGTCCAGCTAATTATTTACTTTTTGTAGAGATGGGGTCTTGCTATGGTGCCCAGGCTTGTCTCAATCTCCAGGCCTCAGGTGATCCTCCCGCCTCAGCCTCCGAAGTGTTGGGATTACGGGCATGAGCCACCCCACCTGGACCAACTCTTTTTTTTGTTTGTTTTTTTGAGATGGAGTCTTGCTCTGTCGCCTAGGCTGGAGTGCATTGGCATGATCTTGGCTCACTGCAACCTCCACCTCCCTGGTTCAAGCAGTTCCCCTGCCTCAGCCTCCTGAGTAGCTGGGATTACAGGTGCCCGCCACCACATCCAGTTACTTTTTTTGTATTTTTAGTAGGGACGGTGTTTCACCATGTTGGCCAGACTGATCTGCAACTCCTGACCTCAGGCAATCTGCCTACCTTTGCCTCCCAAAGTGCTGGGATTGCAGACATGAGCCACTGCGCCTGGCCCCAAACTTTCTATAGTTGATGATAGCAATTATTTTTTGAGCAGTTAGTATGTGCCAGGCACCATATTAAACATTTTATCTAATCTAATCTAATCAGCCCTTGGATACAAGGATTATTTCCCTTATATTACAGATGAAGGACTGGGGCTCAGAGAGGCCCAGTGACCTGCCCAGTGACACACAGGCAGGAGGAGAAGGCAGGACTGGAGTCCACGCTAGGCTGATTTTCTTTTTTAAAAAGCCGATTTGTTGTTGTTATCTCTCAACTCACGGAAGGTGGGGAGGGAGTGCACCCAGGGGCCCACCATCCCACCCTCAGCCAGGCCCGGTAAGTCTGACCACTGCTCCTCCATAGGGCTGCCCAGAAGGCTGCGCTCCACTTCGCTGCTGTGGAAGGGCAGCACCCAGGAGGCCCTGAACCTGCTCAAGGATGATGTGCTGGTGGTGGACCCGGGAACCAGGTAAGGAGGAGAATTTGATGCCCAGCCTCACGTTAGGAGCCTCCTGGGGAGACACAGCTGCCTGAGAAAGAGCCCACATCACCTCATCCTAGGTGGTCAGAGCCAGGACAGACCTGCTCCCCAGCTGGAAAGGCCAAGGCCTAGAGAGGGGAGACCAGCAAGGCAGGGGAGAGCTGGGCCCAGAATCCTGTTCTGTTCGAATGGAATGTTTTTTCCATTCACCTTATTGAGCACCTACTTTGCCCCAGAAGGTGCTAAACACCCAGTTTGCTCCTTGTGGAGTTTGCACTCTTGTGAGGGAGACACTGAGCAAATAAGCAAGGTGAATACAGATTTTGCCAGGTTGGAAATAAATGGGTTACTGACCAGATGAGGCGTGGGTAGCTGGGTGGCCACTGAACAGAGAAGCCCCACTCTGGGAGCAGTGGGGCTGTGGGGCTGGAAAGAGGACAACTGGCACTCCCCGGCTTCAGGGGCCCCCTTCTGAGCCTCTGGTCAGTGACCCTTTTCCAAATTTGTCCCTCTGCTTCTCCAAATGCTGAACCTCAGGATCCACTTCCCTTAAGGAAGAAATGATCCAGGTGATGCAGAGAGAGGAGATGCTTGGACATCTTCAGGCTGGAGTCCTCCTCTCAGCTCTGCAAATAACTTACTGCAGTGTGACCTTGGGTGATGCACTTTATCTCTGTGAAACTCATCTAACTAATCTTCCTCATCTGCAAAAATAAGGAGGTTGGCCTAGAGTTCAGGAATGCCTCGTAGAATGTGTGAATTTTCACCCATCCTTGCACCTTTCTGAGGCACTATTTTAGAGATTCTGGAACTGTATTTGCTCTGGGAAAGAAAAGAGGCCTCTTGCTGGTTACTGGTGTCTGCCGCAGCCTGGAAGAAGGGAGGGGCAAGACCTTGCCTCATACATGGTCACTATCATTTTTGTTTCCCCAGAGCAGTGTAAGCCTTTAATTTTCCATTAGATAAGGTAAATCATACTAAAGTGTGAAGGACCAATAAGATTTGTGTGACAACTTTCCCAGGTGCACCGCTGAGCCCAGCCCTCTTCCAACCTGCTGTATGACCCCGGGCAATTTCCTGCCCCTCTCTGGGCCTTCCCAGAGGTAGAAGAGAGAGAGTCAA